AGTGGAACCCTTTGTTGTTGCCACTATTGAGTAAGGACAGAGGTCTTGTTCAGGTCACATTACCTGAAGGCCTCTGGACAGTCACAAAGAAAGTCTAAACCATGATGGGGGAACGTTCCTTGCTTCTTCAGTAAGCTAGAAGCAGTCAGGCTCAGTGAGAGGGGAGCCAGGATTTCTGTGTTGGCAAGGGATGTGTGCATTTTGTCATTTAGGAGCTAAGCTGGTGAAATGTATCAAATATAAAACATAAATGTTAAACCTTCAGCAATCCTGAAAACATCTCAAAATATCATGTTAAATGCAGCACAAATAGATCTCCGCTTTCCTTCTGGGCAGGGCCCATGGGAGCTGCATGTGCCCTCTCTCCAGAGAAACCCTCCCAGACAACTGACCCTTTACACTGACCCTGGCTGGGTCTCTGGTGCTTTGGCCACCTCCCCTGCACACTGAGGCATGTGAGTGGTGACCCTCAGACAGGGTTCTGGTTTGGAAGAAGATAATTGTAAGTTAACCACTAAGATCAGACTTTTTATATAGAAATAGCTCTTCTGGCACCCCTGTGGGCATCTACACTATAATACCACACACTGTTGAGCCCCCAGAATCCTCAAGAGGCCAGAAGCCCCCCTAAACTGGCAGTGTTGCTGGGTTGCTGGGCCTGAGCCAGCCTTGCAGGGCCTTTCTGGGTGGTAGTGGTATCTGGGGCCTCCTGTTGTTTGTCACAACTCCACTCCTGGTTATGAACTCCCAGCCAAGACGATAGCTTTCCCCTCACACCACGCCTCTCCTTCTCGTTTCTCATTTCAGACATCTTTGACCCTGTCAAGTTAGATCATTTGGTTTCAGAAAATAGACTCAACTTGAGGTACAGGAGCTCCTAGGGAAGACAGTGAACTAAAATAGGCAGAGGATGGGACCAGCCTCTCTTAGATGTGTACCGTGTGGCCCAGGAATACAGTGCAGATCCTGTGGCACATGGATGGTACTGCCACTTTTCCTTGCCCTGCTGGTGAGAGAGCAAGAAGTGTGATTCCTTCAGGCCGCCTTGGTGCTGGGATAGCTCACCCCTGACTGATTCCTGCTTTAGTGGAGTGATAAAAAAGGGGCCACCTGCCTGCCTGCCTGCCTCAGAGGCCTGTTGTGGTCATCCACTCAGCTCTCCTGCCTTTCTTCAGCATCAAGGAATGATGGCATCTGTGGGAACGTGAGGCAATGGCCTCCACATGTGAATGGAGAAAGGAGGCACTAGTTGAGCATCATGTGCCTCAGTCCGAGAGAGAGGGAGAGTTGTGTGTGTGTGTGTAAGCCCATTTGGAGACCACTCTGTTCAGTGTCCTGAGGCCCTAGAGCTCTTGAATCTACTCTTAGTTGGTAGCCCATGGGTAAAGTGGGGAAAAGTAATTCCTACCAGTGTTGTAGTGAATGGCTTAATGCAGGGCTCCATCTGAGCTCCACACATCTATGCTCTCCTTTATATACATTTGTTTATACATACATACCTCAATTTTATTAGAGGTTTGCTCTTTTATCATTTGAAATTCTTAGTCATGTGACTAGAAGGGATCACCCAAAGTGTGATATGCTGCAACATGTCATTCCTGACCCAGGTCTATTTTTTAAAAATATCACTTTTAGTTTGTTCTTTTTAGTTACACATGACAGTAGAGTATATTTTCATATATTTATACAAATATGGTGTACATCTTATTCTAATTATGATCCCATTCTTGCGGTTGTATGTGATGTGGAATTTCATTGGTCATGTATTCATATATTAAAAATAGGAAAGCTATATCCGATTCATTCTACTGTCTTTCCTATACTCATCTCCCTCCCTTCCCTTATTTCCCTTTGTCTAATCCAATGAACTTCTATTCTCCCTGCCCCCTTATTTGTGTGTTAGCATCCACATATCAGCGAGAACATTCAGCTTTGGTTTTTGGGGACTGGCTTATTTCACTTAGCACGATAGTCTCCAGTTCCAACCATTTCCAGGCAAATGCCATACTTCCATTTTCTTTATGGCTGAGTAATATTCCATTGTCAATATATATCACACTTTCTTTATCCATCTGTTGAAGGGCACCTAGGTTGGTTCCATAGCTTAACTTTTGTAAATTGAGCTGCTATGGACATTGATGTGGCTGTGTCACTATTAATTTTAAGTCCTTTGGGTATATACCAAGGAGTGAGATAACTGGGTCAAATGGTGGTTCCATTTCAAGTTTTCTGAGCAATCTCCATACTGCTTTCCAGAGTGGTTGCACCAATTTGCAGTCTCACCAGCAATGTATGAGTGTGCCCCTTTCTCCACATCCTCGCCAACACTTATTGTTACTTGTATTCTTGATTGTCATTCTGACTGGAGTGAGATGAAATCTCAGTGTAATTTTAGTTTGCACTTCTCTAATTGCTAGAGATGTTGAACATTTTTTCATATACTGTTGACCATTCATATTTCTTTAGTTCCTTTGCCCATTTATTAATTGGGTTATTTGATTTTTTTAGTGTTAATTTTTTGAGTTCTTTATATATATCCTGGAAATGAATGCTCTATCTGAGGTGCAGGTGGCAAAGATTTTCTCCCATTCTGTAGGCTTTCTCTTCATGCTCTTGATTATTTCCTTTGCTGTGAAGAAGCTTTTTAGTTTGATACCATCCTACCTATTGATTCTTGATTTTACTTCTTGTGCTTTAGGAGAGGAGTCTTTTTGAGGAAGTCAGTTCCTAAGCCACCATGATGGAGTGTTGGGCCTATATTTTCTTCTAGTGGATATACATCTCTGGTCTAATGCCTAGGTCTTTGAACCACTTTGCATTGAGTTTTGTGCAGGGTATGAGAGAGAGAGAAATAGAAAAAGCAGTCATGAAATTCATCTGGAAAAATAAGAGGCCCAGAATAGCCTTTAGTGAGAAAAGCGAAGCTGAAGGTATCACAGTACTAGACCTTAAATTATACTACAGAGCTACAGTAACAATAACAGCATGATATTGGTACCGAAATAGACATGAAGACCAATGGAACAGGATAGAAGACACAGAGACAAACCCACATATATACAGTTATCTCATACTAAACAAAGGCACCATAAACATATATTGGAGAAAAGATCATCTCTTCAACAATGGTGCTAGTGAAACTGGAAATCCATATGCAGCAAAATGAAATTTAACCCCTATCTCTCATTCTGCAGAAAATATGACTGTTTCTTTTATTGAAGCAGATGGGCTGTCAGCTCCTCTTTGACTTGATGGGAGGAATGGGGTGGAGGCGCAGAAACGTGTTGTGTGTATGTGTGTGTGTGTGTGTTTGTGTGTGTGTGTGTGTTTGTGTTCCTTTATGTGGACGTTCTCCCCCTAGCTTAAAGCTTCCCAACTTTGGCTGCTCATTGGGGTCATTTAAAGAGCTTTATAAATTATAGATGCCTGAACGCAACCCCCAGCTTCCAAATGAATAGGTCTGCTTGAGGCCGGGTTTTAAAAGTTCCACAGGAGATTTTGACATGCAGCCAGGATTGTACCTTGTACCTCCCTAGTTTTCTACCTGCCTGAAAACAGAAGCCAGGTCAGGATTTGGCTTTGGATCCTGGCCATCTAGGATCCTGATTTTAGCCTTAGATGTTCAGATTTTTATATTTATATTTATATATATACAGGTGTAGAAGATGAGGACCAGGAAAGATTTGAGTTTCTTTGTGGAACAGTCCTTGTAGATTGGCAAAACAAAGAAAAAACAAAAAAAAAAAAAAAAGAGGGAGAGAGAGAGAGAGAGAGAGACTGAGAAATAGCATCCTGTGCATTTGAACTATGATTTTAGACTATCTTCATACAATATGTCATTTCACAAAGTGAGAGTCACAACTATTTTTATTTTAAATTTATAAGGTAAATAGTTATCAAAATCTTCTTTCTTTCTAGGGCAGATGTGCCTATGATTCAGTAGCACATATAAATGCAATTCACTTGTCGAGGTAAAGAAACTCAGGAAGACCACCAGTGCATTCTCATCTCACAGCCCTTGGTATAATTAATGGCTTACTAGTAGCTTCACGTTGTGGGAAATGGGTAGAAAACAAACCTAGGAAGAAATTCAAATGACCAGTTCAAAGCGATTGCTGAACAGCATTTTTTCTTAGAATTGTCTTTGGGAAAGGATTTTAATTTTTTAAAAATGTTTGACTCTCCAGAGTTAACTAAGTTACTTTTGCTAAAAACAGCCTTACACATGGTGCCCGCACAGAGATATCTGCAGAGCAGGAAACAGGCTAGACCCATCCTGCTGAAAGTTCCCATGGATATTTTGTGTGTCCTGTCGGTGTCACTGTAGTGGTATTTCATGTTCAGTGGCTGTAGGACTGAGTTCAGTGTCACATTTAATTGGAAGAGGAAGCACACTCTGGTTTGTGTGTGAAGCAGAGAAACTGGAGCTGAAAGGCCAGTGCTTGGCAGAGGCCCAGACTCCAGAACCTCAGCTCCGTGCTGCAGCACACGACTTCAGAAATCTTTGAGTGAGGCCTAAGTATTCTGTCCTGGGCTGGGACATTCTCTTGCAAGCATATCGTCTGACAAAGTGACCACCTCTTCCTTGAGCTCGTTTATGTTGTGAGAGATATCTGCTCTTCACACTTTGGTTCTCCTTTTCTGGCCTTCCCATCTCCCTCCTTTCTATCTCCCTTCTTGATCATTCTGAACTTGAGGACTTGGCTTTGGATGGTGCTGCTGCTGCTGCCCTTGGAACTGGAACATGTGAGGCATCCATGCTTCTGCTCAGCGTGTCTTGAGGACTGTGTGTTGACCTCATGGGTCATTTTTGTGGGTGGCTGGACTTGTGATGATTCTGAGTAGTAACTTTGGAATTTTATGAATCAAAAAGATAGGGCGCTCCTGTTGTGGGTTGAAATGTGGGAGCATGCCTTGTGGGCTGTCATGAGTCACACAGGAAGAGGGGGCACTTGATTGGCACTAACATACACGTTACTTTCTTCCTCCCAGCACCCGCTCCTGTCTCTTACAGCCCTAGCAGTCCTGTGCAGATTCTAGAAGACACCAGCTACTTTTTCTCGGACTTTCAGCTTTACTCTGGGAGGCATGAAGCATCTGCTTTGACGGTGGAGGCAAACAGTAGCATCAGGGAAAAAGTTGGTAAGTCCTTTTGCTGACTTGTATTGGAAAACAAAGTGACCATATGTCTCTCATTTTTATCTCTTTTGATGCAATAGCTTTCCTTTATATGTGGTTTTGCTTTTTGCATTTTCAGTTACCCAAGGTCAACCATGATCCAAAAATACTAAATGAAAAAAAGCACAAAGAAAAATTTGCAAGTTTTAGACAACTTTTCTTACAGTATGTTGTTACAATTGTTCTATTTAATTTTTAGTTGTTGTTGTCGATCTCTTAGCATGCTTAATTTATAAATTCAACTTTATCATAGGTGTGTATGCACATGAAAAACTTGACATGTGTAGGGCTCAGTATTAGCCTTGGTGTCAGGTGTCCACTGGGGATCTTGAAATGTATTCCTGAGGAGAAAGAGAGACTACTGTAACTCAGATTTTTCTTTTTATCTGTGCTTATCTTAAAATTAGCATATTGGGTCATTAGTTGTCTCTTTGTTGGTAGATGCCTTATTTTTATTCATGCTGTGCTTTACTGTTAATAAGACTATTTTATTGTAGTATGTGACTCCCCTTGTGAGACTGTGTGTGTGTGTGTGTGTGTATTTCAGAATTATATCATTTAATCCCTAAATTTTCTCTAATTTTTAAATACTTTTCCTCACCCTTTTTCAAACTCTTCTTTTTTCTGTTTTTGAGACTGGTGAAACTATGAGGGAATCTCTAAAAATACTTCTGGGGAGAATCTTATGGTTCCTACCAAATGTGCTTGTAACTCATTTTTCTCTCACTTCAGTGAAAATAGAATTCCATAGTTTTCATGTTTATTGAGACCCATTCATATTTTTATTTCTTTAATCATTCAGATAAGTCATTTTCCTCTAGAATGATTTTTATTTTTGTTCAAATTTTTCTTCTAGTCTTATTAAAAAAATCTTATTCTTATTTAAACATGGTTGTTTCATTAAGCCTTTCAGATCTGTTACCCCAAGAGGTCGAGGACTCTATTCTCTTTAGTCTCATAACTCTAACACCTGTTGGCAGGTCTGGAATAAAATAGGTTTGCAGTGCGTATTTGTTGAATGAGTGAGTGGATCTGTCCAACCCACACTGATCTGTTTCCTTGGGTTTTTTATTGCTTATTATAGTTATTTGGCAATTCATCTGTGAGTACTCTTGATAATCTCTTTTGGGTTTTGAACTTTGGTGTCCATCTCACTTGTAGTAAACATTCTCTGGAGATAAGGAATGTTTTGACTTTACTTCACATATGTTCCTATGAGGCAAATATTTAGCTTCTGCATTTTTTTTTTTTGTTTTTTTTTTTGCTTCTGCATTTTTTAAAGGAGAAAGATTCAGAGAGGCCAAATAACTTGCCTGAGGTCACAAAGGTGAAGTGTTTTGATGTTGTTGTTGTTGTTTTGCCAGATGGACAGGGAGAGCCTATGATCAAAGGTGAGCTTGAGGGTCTACTCTGTAAAATTATTGGTTTCCTTGGCAGTCATTTTCCGAATGCCTGTGTGTACGGGGCAGAGCACTTGGTGTGGGGGGGTTACAGCCCATGGATGCATAGACTATGCTCTCTATGGCTGGAGCTTGAATTCCAGTAGAGGAAGGGAGATGATAATATACTGTAACAATGTTCTAATAGTGTCATATTGGAATATTGTAGTAACAATATACTAATATTAAGTGTGGATTAGAAGGAGAAGAGGCCAAAGGCAAGAGGTTTTAGGAGGCTGTTCGCAGAAGCTGGTAAGGAGAGCTGGCAACCCCCAGGGGTGCCAGAGGGTGTGGAAGAACAGACTCCACAGGAAAGCATATTGGTGTAGAAACTAGGGTTTGGTTCTGACTTCTAACTACCGTGAATGTGAAAATTTTTAATGAGAATTAGGGGACCAACATGGAATTGCTGTCTTTTGCTCTTGCCAGGACACTAAAAATGTCATTGTCTTTCATACTTTCTCAAGGTTTAATACCCAGGAAGACAGAGGAATATAATCCTTGATGGTCTTTAATTAAAAAAAAGATAGTTGTGCCAGGTGCAGTGACTAATGCCTGTAATTCCAGCGGCTCAGGAGGCTGAGACAGAAGGATTACAAGTTTAAAGCTAGCCTCAGCAACTTAGTGAGGTCCTAAGCAACTTAGGGAGATCTTGTCTCAAAAAATAAAACAATCTGGAGATGTGGCTCAGTGGGTAAGCATCCCTGGGTTCAATCCCCAGTACCCCCCACAAAAAACCCAAAAAACAAAAAAACAAGAGATAATTATAAGCCTCCTTCTATTGATATCTGTGTAAACACACACAGATGTGTTTGAATACATACATTGTAAGCAATCACACTACTTTTTTTTTTATTTCACTTTAGACTGAAAAAAAGAAACTAGCTTGGCAGTTAATTAAATGTGGGTAGCAAAGGAGAGAAAAGATGAACAGTGAATATGAGATTTCTCTCTGGATGACTCATGATGAAGACGCCATATATACGAGAAAATATATATACTTGAGGATGAATGATGGTTTAGGGAAAATGACATATTGCCTGTATATATAAAAACACTGAACCGTTGTTGCTTGGAACTGTGCAAGTGCAGTCTGTCCAGAGATGTTGTAATCCAGCTTCCTGGACACAATATGGGGAAGATATTGAGGTTCAGAGAGTATGAGTGATTTACTCAAAGTCATGCCAGTAGTAAGTTCTGGAATTTTTACAGTCATAATGCTATATAATATCCTTCATACACTACTTAATAGTACTATTGGGAAATGATCTAGGTGTTGTGCTTCATGGGGCTCACTTAGGTATTTTTTGAATATCTGGTTGAATATCTGAGAACAGCATTGAGCTGTGTGCTAGGAAAGTGCAAATGAGAAGACTTGAATCTTTCCTTTATGGAGTTTGGAGTCTTTGTAAATAAGTAATTGCTGCCTGCTAGGATGTTTGCTTCAGTGGCATTTGTACAAATGGAATAGGGACTTTGGAGAAGGAAGGCTCAAGCCTATTGGGCTACAGCAGGGAAAGGTTTTACTCTGAAGGTAGCTTTGGAGCTGCCCCTGAAGCGTAGAATTTCCCAAGAGACACGGTGAGGTGCCTCTTCCTAGGGATCGGAAAGAATGCCTTGAGAGTCTAGAGGCTGGAGACAGCTAGCGGGTTTTGGAAACTATATATACTTAGATATTGCAAGAGGTTAAACTCCAAGGGGTTACCAGTGCTGGCAGGCATGACACGAAATGTGGCAGGTGACATGAAATGTTGCTAAGTAGGTAAGCAGTACCTGCTACACAATATGATAGAATGTCAGCTTCATCCTATAATTGATTGTTGGGGCTTTTGTGCAGAGAAGTAATAGGAGTCAATTTTTCTGTTGGAACAATTTTTCAAGGTAATGTGGAAGGTAGATTGGGATCTGAGGGGTGGGTTTAGAAATAGCAATGAGACTAGAGTCAGAGCATAAAGTTGAAATGGTCTGGGTATGAGAAGCCAGTGACTTGTAAAGTTGTGGAATGTACATAGATTTGGAGTCAGATCTTGGGCTCTGCCTCTCTGAGGCCTCTGACTTATCTTCTCTGAGCCTCTCTTCATCTGTAAGCTGGGTAATAATATCTGCCTCATGGGATTGTATATGGGATAAATTAAATAACATAGGAAGAGATTGTAGTGTAACAACTGCCATGTCATGTACACTTTAAAATGTTATTGTGGTTATTAATAATAAACTTGGAGATTGGCTCAGGAATAATGAAGAAAGTTGGCAGAGATCTTTAGGAAGCAGAATTGACAGGTGATGACTGGATGTTGGAGGTCAGGGAGAGGAAGGAATTACTATGGAAACTCCCAAGTTTCTGGCCTGACAGAATGTAGCTGAGACAGGGGAACCCCAGGTTGGGGTGGACAAGTGTGTGGGGAGAGGAGTATGTGTTGAAGTAGAAGGGCCTTCAGAGCTGTCGGCTGCTGTTTTAGATATGGGGGTGGTGACTCGGGAGAGGAGATGAATATCCTGTTGAGTGAGGGCAGAAGAGCACTCAGGACAGACCCAGACCTGGGCAGAAATGTAGAATTGAAGGCACAGATGGAGAATAGGGAGCAGGCGAGTGTTCGGAGGCAGGAGGAGGGGCAGCCTGGATGCCAAGTTAGAAGAGCATTTCAAGAAGCGCGTGATCAACCATGTCGAATGCTTTGGAAAGGTTAGGTGTGTAATATGAGAGTTGGAAAACTCTTGCTGGATTTAGTTACTATTCAGAGCAGTGGATGGAGCATTTGGAACATGGAGACGGAGTGTGTTGGTTGCTTGCTGAAGATAACCAGAGGAGAAGGAAAGGGGAGATGCAGGGTAGCAATTAGAGGTCTGTGGTAGGGCCAAGAGAAGACGGTTTCTTTGTGTTTGATTTGGGTTTTGGCTTTTTTTCTTTTTTGAGATGGGAAAGACTTGGGTTATGTTTATGTGGATGAAGAGAAGGGACCATTGGAGAGGTTAAAGAAAAGGAGAGGAGGTGCTGAAGGATGAAGCAAGTTCGAAGAGGAGCAGGAGGAGAGGAGATGGAGAGTTGCAGAGTCACTGTGAATTGGAGAAACATCCATGATACATTGCAGGCTAGATGGGTGGAGGTGATGGGATATTTAAAATCTTGTCGTTAATGCTACTGTAGTTAGAATGTTAATTGTTCCACATACTTATAAGCATATATCTCCTGGGGAACAGCCTGATACCTTTTTTCTTATGTTTGTCTTTTAGAGGATCCTCTTTGTAACTTCCACTCCCCAAACTTCCTGAGGATCTCAGAGGTGGAAATGAGAGGTTCCGAGGATGCGGCAGCTGGAACAGTATTACAGCGGCTGATCCAGGAGCAACTGCGGTATGGCACCCCCACCGAGAACATGAACTTGCTAGCCATTCAGCACCAGGCCACAGGGAGTGCAGGACCAGCTCACCCTACAAACAACTTTTCTTCCACGGAAAACCTCCCTCAAGAAGACCCACAAATGGTCTACCAGTCGGCACGCCAAGAACCGCAGGGTCAGGAACACCAGGTGGACAATACGGTGATGGAGAAACAGGTCCGGTCCACACAGCCTCAGCAGAACAATGAGGAACTGCCCACATACGAGGAGGCCAAAGCCCAGTCACAGTTCTTCAGGGGGCAACAGCAGCAGCAGCAGCAACAGCAGCAGCAGCAGGGGCCAGTGAGCCACGGTTACTACATGGCTGGGGGCACCAGTCAGAAGTCCCGCACTGAGGGGAGGCCCACGGTGAACCGTGCCAACAGTGGACAGGCGCATAAGGACGAGGCGCTGAAAGAACTGAAGCAGGGCCATGTCCGCTCTCTGAGTGAGAGAATCATGCAGCTGTCGTTGGAGAGGAATGGTGCTAAGCAGCACCTCCCCAGCTCAGGGAATGGAAAGGGGTTCAAAGCAGGAGGTGGGCCCTCTCCTGCCCAGCCTGCTGCAAAAGTGCTAGACCCTCGTGGTCCTCCACCTGAGTATCCCTTCAAGACCAAGCAAATGATGTCCCCAGTCAGCAAGAACCAGGATCACGGACTTTTCTACAGTGACCAGCACCCCGGGATGCTCCACGAGATGGTCAAGCCTTACCCTGCTCCTCAGCCTGCTAGAACAGAAGTGGCCGTGCTGAGGTACCAGCCACCCCCAGAGTATGGGGTTACCAGGTGATTATCAAGCCTTGGGGGTCAACTTAGCAGTCATGTTACTTTCAATGCATCTTAGATTTTTGTCATTAGGCTTTTTTTTTTTTTTTCCCCTCTTGTATATAATATTTAACAGTCCACTTTGGGGCAAAATGAGTAGAGGGCAACTGGGGATTTTCTCCAAACTTAAGAAAGCAACTGGGGGAGGACGACTGGAGGGGAGGGACCACCAGTGTTAGCCCCCTGCCTAGAGGCCTGCAAAGGAGCATTCTCCTGGCTGACTTTGGAGGGTGTCCAGACTCCCTAAAGAACATACTGTTGCCAAAGAGTTTTATAGTCTTGTCTTCACTGTAGATTTACTGTAGTCTGAATATTAGAACAGATGAATTAAAGAGACCCTGAAAATCACATAGTTCTCCTTCCTTTTTAGGTGGGAAACTAAATCCTAGAGAGATTAATAAATGTCCACACAACTCTGGGCAGCTGGGGACTAGACTTAGGTGTCCTGACCATCAACATCTTTTCACCCTTTTACCCTAACTCCTCTTATAGCCTTCCGACTGACTGATGGATTCAGTCACACCAAGTGTGTGCTTTGTGCAACTCTGAACCAGGTTCACAAATGAAGATACGGTTCCTTCCCACAAGGACTTTATGGCGTTATCTCTGGGAAAACCAGTACTTGAACAGATCACTGCCATTCATTGTGTTATTTAGGATAGAAGTATGAAGAAAGTGCTAGGGGAACAGACAATATGGCTCACAACTGCTGGAGCGGGAGAGGGCTTCCCAGAGGAGATTGGATCTTGAAGGATTCATGAGTTGTGGGATAGAGATGGAAGAGCAGGATGTACTGTGGAGGGAATGCTGTTTCTTGAGACAGACAGGCCATAAGGATTTGTCTGGAATGAGGGGCAAAAATACAATTGGGAAGCCTGGTGCTTTTAGGTAGGGACTGTGTGTTGGTGTTTAATAGCTGACTTCAGTGGCAGTGCAAGATGGATTAGAGGATCATAAGGCCCTTCAGGAACAGTTTCAGTAGTCCAGGGAGGAATCAGTGAGGGTGGCCAAGGCTGGAGGCAGCGGGAATAGAATAATGTTGTAAGTTAAGAGAGGCAAGGATATAGAAATGACAGGATTCTGTGATTGACGAGATGTGGAAGTAGAGGGACCAGGCAGCTGGGAATAGGGCGGCTGGAAAGCAAGCTCTCAGGAGTGAATTTGGGAGTTGCCAGTGGTTTGAAGTTACTGAGCTTGTGTGGGAAGAGAGTGGAGCACGAGAAGACAGGTGGCCCCTGCCTATTATTGGATGTGTCATTCTCATTAAGGGTTAGGTCTATTTCTAAATTGAATGAGTGAGGGTTCCTCATGTGACCCCAGCACTGGGCACATGGCACATGGCACGCCCTGATGCACACCCTCTGAAAAGGGAGTGACTGGAGCTCGGCAAAGTGTTGGCTGACCTGCCATTTACTCCCCAGCTTGGACACCTCCCCACTATGGGGGTGGGGGATGCCAGCTTTGAAGCACTCTCTCCAACTTTTAGACCATGGACGGCTGGTGGAATGCGTTCTTCCTAAGGTGGGGGTAACTGGACCCCACTGGGGAATCCAAGATAAGACCAAGGAGCTCTGCTTCTTAAGGTTTTTGTCATTAGGCTTTCTTCTTCTTCTTTCCCTTTTATAGTTCCTTATGTCAAAGGAGAAATTTTAACTCAAAAGCTTCTAAATTCCTTGTATTTGCTTCTCATAGATAAACCTCAGCTGTTCAAAATAATCCATGGTGTTTTCCAGAATCATGGTGTTCCACACATTCCACTCGGACTCTGAAGCTTGATAGAGGGTGAAAATCTCCCCCACTGTAGTCTCCTTCCTCTTCATTGGCTTAGTATTTTTTTAATGGAGGTACAATAAGTGGGTCATTTTGCCCTTTGTCAGTTGGCAATGGATGTGATATGAGGAGGGAGAAATGATCTGGGAGGAGGGATGCACTTCTTGGAGTTCTATCCGGTTATTTCTGGAAAGTGTCATTTGTGTGGAAGTGCTGATGTTAGAAAGAAGAAGAAACGTATGTGGGGTTTGAGCTTATTGCCAGGTTTGGCTGCTGGGTTGATGTGGCACATCAAAATATCTTAAAAGACGTAACAGACAGGCCATTGAGGCTGGGTCCAGAGCTGTAAGGCTGCTTTGTGAGCTCGGCCATGGCTCGCCAGCAAGGCTCCAGCGGTGCAGTCCTTGGCTGGCTGGGTAAACAAAGTTGCATCCACACAGCCCTGCTTCAGACACTTTAATAGCCTGATCTCCAAGGTTTGAGCCTGAAACTCTGCAGTGTATGGTATTCAACCTGTCTGTGACCCAAGAGACAAGCAGGGCTCCGTTGAATTTCACTGTTATGTTCCTTTGTGCTTAAGGGGTTATCTGTGTCACTAACAGAGATGGTTTAGGAAGTTATAGACTGTTTGGTGCCACATACTGTAGCATAGGCTCCTGCAACCAGACCGAAAGGACTCTGGCTGAGTTCTCCCAGTCCATCTCCTTAGTGCTATTAATGTGGGCTCAGGAGATAAAGGATGTTCAGTGGTTTGGTCCAACCCATAACCTTGTTGAGATTTGACTCCTTTTTATCTAGAGACAGATAGGTCCAAAGAAACAAGCGATAGAATGCATGAGAAGAATAATTTGGATTTCTTCATTCTTGACTCACTATCACTTATAAAACCTCTCACCTGCACCGATGAGCTAAAGATATGTGGAGCTGTCTGGTAGATGATTATTAAACACTTTAGATTCCTTTATGGAAACCCCTTGGAGAGGCCACTAGTCCAGGCTTAGTTGACTTGCAGCATGTTTTTGGCCCTTGTTGGTGAGCTGGTGGCCGGTGGAGAAGGAAGCACTAAGAATGGGACCTGCAGGGAATATGGGCTGCTCTGACTTTCCTTGAACTCTGTTTTGTTTTTCACTCAACCTGAAAGTGGAAATGGATAGGAAAGAGGAAAAGATGGAAGTTGGGTTGTCACTATGGAGAACTGCATTTCTTCCCCCACCCAAATCATTTGAATAATATTAGTCCTAAGTAATGAGTTGGCCTATGCATTGTGCACTGTTAGTGAAAATCAATGCATAAATGAATTCCAGTTGGATAGTCTGATTTTTGTTAGAGGAGTTTGGAGTATATCAGTCAACATGCATGTTTGTTTTCCAAAAAATAAGTGTTTCAAAAAATTTGAATACTAGAGATTCTAAAAAAATTCCTTATTAATATCCTATTTTCCAAATATAGCTTTTAACATTTTCCTATACAAATTCTTTCTTTCATATTATAATCATGAATTATGTTCAGTTTAGTGGGCTAGAGATATAGCACGGTGGCAAAGCACTTGCCCATTATGTGTGAGACCCTGGATTCAATCCCCAGTACCCCCCCATAATAAATAAACCATAAATAAATAAATAAACCACATATTCAGTTTAGTATCTTAGCTTTTTTTAGACATCATTTTTTTCACAGTTTCCCATTTTTTCACAGCAATAAATTTCATAATTTATTATTATGAAAATAATAAATAATACTTTATCATTTTCATAACCATCCATTTTATTGCTGTATAATATTTTATTATGTATATAATTTATGCCACTTTTAAATAAATAGCATAGTGAAATTATCATACATATCAAAATTTCCATACTTTGGCTTACGTCCTTAGGATCATTATTTAGAAATGAAACTTGAGTAAATTATAGTGAACGTTTATTGGCTTATGATGTTGGATAACTTCATAAAAATACGTACGGTTTTACTGCACTTTGATCAATGTTAGTCATTTATAATTACAACAGTTTTGCCAATTTAAAAAGAAAGTAGTGTCTCCTCCCTATTTTAATGTGCAGTTACTAGCTAGGTTGATTTTTTTAGGTGGTATGTTTGTCATACTTATTTGAACCTGAAAATTGGCTCTTCATGTTTTTTCTTCATATGATTTACATGCTTTAATGAACCCCTAGGAAACTGAAGCCTGTTTTCTCTAACACTTGCTCAGATTTTCCAGTTTTTAGAACTTCTTCTGCATCCTTCGTCGGGGACAGTGGAGCTGGGCAGTGGCAGGAGGACAGAACCTTCACTGAGTGCTCGCGGCATTCTGGCACTTGCTGTGGGTTGTCATTCCTCGTCTTATCAGCAATGCTAAGGAGTTGGGCACTCTTGATATACCCATATTTACATTCGATCAAGCCTGAGGACTAGAGGGCAAGGTCATAGCAACAGGCACCATCTCCTCTTGGTTCAGGGGCCAGGGTGCACCTGGAGCTCTGCTGCATAGTGCGCCTCCCATGAGTTGCCATGGAGGCCGTCTTAAGTCTTTCCTTGACATCAGCTCATCTGGTGAGTTTCTAATCAGATTTACAGACTACATCACGTGTGATGTCTAACTCGTGTGCTGCCCACCTCAGTGTTTTCCTGGAGGACGAGAAAACCAATTCCTCCAGATGCTAGGAGGAAAGCCCTCCAGGTGCCTCTTCTTTACCAGATACCCTGGAAGACTGTGGTGGCAACCTTAACCTTGTTGACAGCTGCAGGGTGTGAGCTTTAGTCTGTCTTGTGGTTTGCTTTCCTTTGAAGGGGGAATCCAGGGGAGTTGTGTGTGTGTTTTTTATTTAGACATTTTAAACCGAATGTTTCAGTTATGGAAGATGATGAATTACTAACTGAAGACTAATTTCTATATTTTCAGCAGTAACACCTTGGAAAAAGCTAAGAGTGACTCTCTGATGATGAAAAGAACACTTAAAGCTCTAGGTTTCCTCTCTGAACCTGGACATTGTCTTTTTCGCTTTTTATCTTGTCTCAGTCTTGCCTGTTCAATTGCCTGTTTGACTTACAAGCTTCTTGGAAACAGAAAGTGCTACCTGTTTATTAATATTTTACTCATCTATGGGTGTATTAATATATTTTTAGTATGCATATACTTTATAAGAGCATGAGATGGTAGTATTTGGCTCAGCCCTCTGTCCTAAGCTGACAAA